AAGTTCTATAAAATTTCAAATATTAACCTTAATGGCACCAAACAAAGTTTCCTCTATCAATAAACGGCATTAATGCATCATGTTCCAAACATTATTGTATTTCCTTCCCCTTGCCTTTCTTGCATACCCACTAAAGACATATTAGGAAATGTAGAGATTGAGGCATGCATACAAATTAGAATTTGAGAACCAGACAGCAATCATTTTCTTATTAATATGAAATATGGTTTTTAATATCTAAGTAGGTTTTTGTCACGTAAGCATTTTTGAAAGTTAATGGACTTTATGTTGTGTCTAGTCTACATGAAATTATTTGCTATATAAAAAAATTCGTTCAAAAATGTAAAAAGATTCACTGATTTAGATAATGAAAAAAGGAAAAAAAAATGTTTGACCTGTAGTATATAATATAAAAAGTCAAAATTTAATGTAAGGCAAAATTTGGGTATATCTCTAAATTGGTTTAATATTTTGAGTTTTTTAGGTAGTTAAAGAACATATTCTTTCGATTTACAATGCCAAACTCAGTTATTAGCTGGAATGTTAATTGATAATTGCGAAATTAAGCATCATAATGTATATGACGGTGATCCTCGTTAAATGTAACACGTAGACTGCCACCTATAGGTTTTGTTTTAAATTCATTATAAGTGCATTATTCAAAGTTTACAGGAATATTTGCCAAATCACTTTAGCTATTATGTTGTATATTTTTCACAAAAAGATATATATGGCACAATATTAGTACCTTGCGGCACAGATGGTTACAGATGAACCGCATTTGCCGTGGGGTACGAGTACGTATAGGATTGCCAGATTTAAGAAAGTGAAAAGCGTGACAACCGGGACGACAGACCATCAGGTTCAAATACCAAACATTTTTATATAATCAGGTCCATTATAAAAAATCCTCAGCTTGTATTTTTCGTAAACGAGGGTCCTTTAGCCGATATTTATATAACAAAAAAGGTATTCATCTTGTTTTTCTATAAATTGAGTTCCTCCTTTTTATTTACGGCTTTGAATATTAAAAAGCGCTGAGCGTGCAAGCAAGTCAGAAAGCGTGGAAAATACGCCTAAAGCGTGACGTCTGGCCACCCTAGTACTTTGCCTCAGTTTCTTAGTTAAAAAATATCGACACGTTTGGATATGACAATATGAGGGTATTGCATCTGCGAAATTTGCATGTCACGTGTCAGTTGTTGTTTCAAATATATATTATCTACAACTGTCAATAAATAAACAATACGTAAGTTATTGGATATAAAAAAATATGTCCCATATTTATATAATATTAACAGGCCACTAAACCTCCAGTAGGCGGCGATAGCCAGTGAATTACTTGGCTAAATGATGACGTAGCTGTGTTCTTATTGTAATCGAACCCTACGTAACTTGATGAACAATGCATCAATATGAGTTATGACAAACAGCAGAGTTTGAACATAAAATAGCTCAAAATAAAACTCCAAAAACGGTCTTGCTCTACCTGTAAGAAGCTCCACTGTGTGAAATATTTCTTCCTTCCCATAAAAGTTATTTGGCATGATAGCTACCCATTATTTATAATCTGTTTAGATTATTTGAATGAAAGTTTTCTTTTTTACAACTTCAGTATTTCATATCGCACTCATACTTCAAATGTGACACAACTCAAAAATCACATCTGTTGAGTTAATACCTTGAATGTAATTGGTAAACAACCCTACAATCAACAAAACTGTTTCAACTTACCTACTTAGAAAAGACTCATCTAAAAGGAGCCTGTGTCAATTTTTGAGGTTTTGATGTGGGCTCGTTTTTCATAATCAAATTAATGGTATTACCTCAAAAAAAATGTGAATTTTGAGTTGTGTCACTTTTATATATTGTATATATTTTATTATATATGAGTAAATATTTTGTTTGAATAATTACTTTATTTCAGTAAAATACCTTATTCGATCCTAATTTCCAAAATAATGAAAAACATGGCTACTAATAGAGAAATATGAAATAAATCCAATCATTTTTTCGAAGGCGTTTTATCGCGTCTGGCTCACTGCCGTTTGTGAGCCATATGTTGTAACTCAGTAAGTAGAATATTTGTACATACATTACCTCACACGTATCTCATGGCAGTCTACGTGTTAAATGGCGAATTTAAAAAAAATATCAGTTATATTTTAATTCAAAGAGGTTTATAATATTCTACTATGCACATGCTGTTGATTTTTCCATAGTTAAAGGTCGTCATAGTGTATTAAAGTATTAAACACACAGCACATAATAATTGTCATTATCGTAAAAGAAGGAGTAATGGTACTGCATCCCATTGTAGCATGCCACTGGATAAAAAGCGAGAAACGTGTTTTTCGTCAAAATCTGAGGCTTTTAAAGAGAAGGTCAGGTAGCAATTTTGGAGTTGAGTTATTGCAATAAAGAGGTTCTCATTTTAAAATTTGATCTCGATCTGGAAAACTAAGACCTAAAGGGTGAATAATAATATTACTGAGAAGTTTGAGAGAGTATATTCAGAACTTGTATTTCTATAATAATTTCTTAAACAATTTTTAATCACTCAGTGACTTAAGAGCAAAGTGGACACCTTGAAAATTTAAAATTCATTCTGAGCCTTTATTTTTAGTCAGAATTTTATGAAATTTTCAGGAAATACCAATAATAAAACTTAATATGGAGAAACCTTGAATTTTTTGTAAACCTTAGCAAATTATTTATCTTGAAAATTTTTAAAAAGAATAAAAAAAAACATTTACGCACCATTCTGTATTAAATCTATAAAATTTACTGCTTTTTGTTTTAATGAATATCTAGTAGTTTTTAAATGGAATGTTTTCTTAAACATACAAAATTTTAATTCAATATGTCAATATGGTGTTACTAAAAATAAAATGACCTGTTTTTAAGTGAAATACTGTATATTTTATTCTGTTCAAAAAGATTATATGATTGAAATGTGTGACATTTTAACACGTTAACTGCCGCACTAGAGTATCTAAGGGGCCACCAAAAAATTTGTCTATTTTCAGGTTATATTAAAGTGCAAGAACACATTCTGTGACAAAACACACAAAATAGTCTTAGGGGTTGAAGTTAATCGCGTGGACCATATATATAATTCACGCGGCCTCAGAAGCAAAATGACAGTTTCGGAGCGACGTGAATTATATTTAATTCATTCATAATTTTGACAAAATTGTCAAAAAACTCAAATAATCCTAGACTATAACAACAGCAAGGGATTTATTGACATCAAATGAAGGGGGGTAAAATGGTATAAAAATTAGCAATAGAGTTAATTACAGCTACAGCACTTGTCAATGCTTACATTATTTATAAAAAAATAATAGGAGAACATAAGTATTACAAAATTTAAAGGAAAGGTTAAAATGGGTTTTTTGGATGAAGAAACAAGAGAAGATGATACAGCTACAACCAGAGAATGCGGTTTGAAAAATATATCACAGAGGAAAAGATGTGTTGCATGTTATAAAAAGCTGAAAGTTGAATTTGACAGAAAACTCCATACAAGTATGAAAAATGAGACGCGTTTTATCCTATTGAATGTTCCTTTCATAGGAATAAATCTACTAGATTGTTATCTTTTGCTTTTAGTTTTGTACTATAATTCCCAGTCTGTTATTATTTTTTGGACCAATAAATAATCATTTAAACAATAAATACTTGTTCAATTAATTGGTTTTTTAAATTATTTTTACATAAATTTAAAAAGTATGGCCATATTTCTAAACGACAAAAATTTTGTAGATATTCACTCCCCAGGCCATACTTTTAAAGATCCCTTATGCTGGTCGAGGTCGCATGCATATTTTACTATGCATGCAGCCTACAAAGCAAAAACGTTTTAGAATTCGCACCGTGTGAATCATATTTAATGCACATGGCGGTTAACGTGTTAAAGAATGTTAAACATTTTTTGATGAAATATATAGGAGTATGCTGTTTTATAATCTTAATATCGCACCTCTGATAAAATAGTCACACCAATTGACAACACTGAAAAGTAAACTGGTCTCAGTGCTAAAATGTGACATCTGCCATCTAGTGGCGAATATATGGAGTTACAGATATGACTTTGTCTTAAATGAACCGATTAATTTTGAGCATTTGTGTCTATTTAACTCAAAACCCAAGTTTTTCAAGTTATAATTGATCGGATGTGCGATATGGAAGTACAGTGCCCTGATAACTATCAAGCCCCCGCCATTACTTTGAAAATCAAATGTGATATGTAAAGATGTAAGAAATGAAACAAATCAAGCATAAACATCATCAATGGGCACAAGTAAATAAATATTTATAGTTTTTAATTCAATTAAGAAATCAAATTGTTTAAACATTTCACTGTTTCCAACAATTTTAGATTTGGAGGGGAAATAAGTAATATTTTTTTAAATAAATGATATATTCTACTAAATAGTAGTTTTTATACAAAAGTTTTCTTAAACATACAAAATTTTAATTCAATGTGTCAATATGGTGTTACTAAAATTAAAATGACCTGTTTTTAAATGAAACACTGTATATCTTATCCTGTTCAAAGAGTATGTGATTGAAATGTGTGACATTTTAATGACACTTTCCCACCTATACAGTAAAAATCATTAAAAATCTGTAAAACGAAAATAAAAATGTACTAAAACTTTAATGACAACCTTAATTACAGAATACCTATTAAAAAGAGCTACCCAATATTAAATTACAAATATAAAAAACACTATTAAATAAATACTTTGAATAAGTAACTAGGTGCAATTAGTTATATATTTTTTTTCATGATGCCACTTGGAATACAACAAAATCAATAGGTTTTAAGTCTAGAAAATAGGCAGGTATCTAATTTCTATTCAAATTTAACCTATAAATCAACTGTCAAAAGGCTAATAAGAATAAGATTACAAAGATAGCATCCTCTAATTAGTCATTAGCGGGTGAAAATTCAATTAAGATTAGCGTAAGATAATTAACCGTTTACTTACCATCGGCATCTACCTCATTGATCATATCCTGTAATTCTGCTTCTGTAGGATTTTGTCCTAGAGATCTCATTACTGTACCTAATTCTTTCGTAGTAATTGTACCATCTCCGTCTTTATCAAACAGCGAGAAAGCTTCTTTGAATTCGGCAATTTGTTCTTCGGTGAGTTGGTCAGCCTAAAAAATGTCAACGACTTTATTTTTACTCGTAAGTAAACACCCAATATGCAACAGATCGATAGAACATACTAGCAGATAACCACATCATGTAAATACAGTCAAAATAAGATTTATTTATTAAAATAAATTTCGCCAAAGTTATTTTAGCGTGTACAGCGAGAGTTCCGCATTGCGGCAGATATATTCACCGGTTTAGTCACCAAAACCAATCGACTTTATTTACTAAATTTCGCATCCATCTTTCAATTGTTTCCAAAAATATCCACATCACAACATCCAACAAACATTCTTCTTTAAAACGGAATTCGCGATGATAAATAATATTTACTCACCATGGTGATATTTCAGGATTAATCGGTACACTAAACAGAAAAATGTCGACACAACGGAGCAACTAACAACGCCTCTCTTCAAAGTGCACCAGCCAACTGTCTTTTCTCGTTTTGTTTAGGATCGACATAGGAGAGGAGAGGGGTTAACCGCTGCTGCGAAACTACCAAAGCGCAATAGTGCGGCTACGACATAAACCGGTAGAAATATTCCTACGCTAGGGTAACATCCAACTCCTTTTATAAATTCTGCAAAATCCTAGCTGGAAATACAAAACGAATTAATTCCTTTTCACAATTTCAAAAAAACAGAAAAGTAGCAATTATTTCACATTCAAGTTAGAGTCTCGTTGGGATCTAGTTTGTGTAGCGTATTGCATGTCAAGTTCAAACGTCGGGTGCGGCTTGTTTACAACGTCTACTCGTACAAGGAAAGATTGCGATTGGTAGAGTTCTACCTGCAATGCGTCAAATAGCCAACGGAACTGGCTTTCGCGCGCTCTTGAAGCGTGGCGCGGTGCGTCGTGCTTTTGAGCTTCTTTGCTGATGTGCGGGTGCGGTAAACGCAATACCAATGCGACGCGCAACGCGTAAAAAATAAAACTGCCGAATAATGCAAAGATGAAGACATAATTCCTCGACCTTCCAGCCCCAGACTTGTAATAATAATAGTAAGGGAAGAATCCTTGGATAGCGTTTAAGGACTTGTTTTATTGATTTACGCCTAATTAGAGGAAACAACTAGGTCATGACCACTCCTATGCTGCTAAACACACCCCTTTCTGGATAATGAATGTACATCTACTTTTAGTTTTAAAATTTGAATATTTTCATTCAGCCGCAACCCATGTGCATGACTTTCGCTCATTTTAAAACGTATTCTATATTAAAAGCTTTCGGTCGATATTTTAACATTCACACAAAAACATAAACAAATGATCCAATACATTATCTTATCAGTTTATCTAAATACTTATTACAGGTATAGGTACCTAGACGAGAATATCTTGCATTGTTTTTAGGTATACCAGCATATATTATTTATAGGTACCTATAGAGGTACCGCTATACCATACAATAAAGTGCTACCAAGCAAATCTCATTCCCATTTTAAAGTTTTGCTTCCATTTTTTTAATTACACATAAAATATAGGATTCCTATATGACGTCCTAATATGTTATAGAATTATTCAACGATAATAAATAGTAACTTTTAGTTTTTTATTTTATATTTATGTACTGTTAATTCCACATTGCCTATAATATTGAATTGATATTTATGAATGTGATAATACCATATGTTAACCGCTTATAGTCAGTATAAAATAGTAAAATACATCTCTAATAAAATATATTCCAAAAAGTCTGTATGAAAGAGAACACAACAAAAATTATCGAGGAGCATGAAAATAATAAATTTCAGTGTGTTCTGTCTGATGTCATAAAAGGCGAGTTATACTAATAAAGTCTTCTACATCCTACATCACTTTCCTTAGAACACGTTCTACAACCCGTAAAGAAGATATTAGTTATTTACTTATTGTAGGTACCAGTAGCGTGTAGGTATAGTAACGGGGAGTTTTGAAGACGAACCCCCCGACACACCTTTTCAGTGTTCTAAAATCTACTAAAATTTGAGTAATGTTTAAAATATTTTTACTAACATTTGACTTTATATAATGTGTATTTATCCCCCGCAATTTTTTCTTACTACTCCACTGGTAGGTACACTTCCCATCAACTCTTTTTAACCGACTTCAAAAAAGGAGGAGGTTCTCAATTCGTCGAAATATTTTTTTATGTATGTTCAACGATAAATTCTTTACCACGTTGTCCGATTTCTATGATACTTTTTTTTGGGTACTTCAGTGGTGGTCCCATATAAATTTAGTCAACTTCTAATAATTGGGTCAAAGACAAAACTATCAAACTCTTCATTTTTTTATGTATATTCAACGATAATTTTTTACCACCTTGTCCGATTTTTACGATTCTTTTTTGATAAAAAAGGGATACCGATACCTCAAGGGTGGTTCCATATACATTTGGTTAAGAACAGGTGATAGGATCTACGAGAAAATAAGCAAACTCAATTTGTGATGGCATCTGCGCGATTTTAAAGGCGGTTTTTTAAAATTTGTGTTCAAATATCAAATTATAATGATTAGTTTTTAAATTACTATTATTATTCTATATTATGTTGAAAAAACGATTATCATTTTCCTGCCAAATACCTGACTTATCTTCATTCGACTTATTGTATTCCCTGTCCAAAGTTGAAAGAAAAGTTACAAGAACGTAGAATTTGATAGTCAAGAAAAGTTTAATAAAATATCTGTACTCCTCACTGTAATGTATACAATTTTATATGTCTAGAATACATAAATTGCACATGAGAGTCTCATGCCTCAAAGACATTAATGTCTTTGAGGCACTATGAAGGTACGCATAAACAATTTTATCCATACACTCCGTTCTGTATATCATGGTTAAATGGAATAAATGTTGCCTATATTTGGGGGGGACTCTATAATTATGTTGGTAGCATTGTAAATAATTATGAATGTCAAAAGTGACAAACGTCATCGTATAATTAGCTTTAAGGTTATATTTACAGAATCTTTTTATTTTGTAGTCATAATAATTAATTCGATGAAGAAATAATAATATATAAAATTAAGGTATTAACAAGATGACGAGTCGAGTGAAATCTGGTTCAACTAGGATAGAAGTTGAAATAGAAAAAAGTAGAGAAGAATCTAACTGGCTGAGAGTTATAGAACTAGCAGAACAACTTAAAGAAAAATCTCCCGAATTTGGTAAAATCAGTGTCTCTTATCTTTTTTCAGTATTTTACATTCAAATTTAATTTTAGTGTGTCTAGCTGATTTTCTAATAGGCGAAGGGAAGTTGGAAAATTTTTTAGAGGAATGGCCACCTATAGAAGCAAATATCAACAGGGCAAAACTTGGATTAATTGAAGCTAAACGGTTTCTTCAGTTAGTTGTAACCGAGGCTGGAATTAAGGTAATAAAAATTGTGTATTATAAAAATCTGTTGTACAATGTTTAAAGTTCATAACTGAATATTCAAGGTTACTGCCAATTAACAAAATTATAAATATAGCAACTATTAAACTAGCTGAAAATTACTTGTAATGTTTATAGAATTTTTAATAGTGCATTGTAATAATTTATTGTTAATTATGTATTACAGTTGAATCCAATTATTTAATTCAAACTCATTTCATTTGAATTTGTTGTTAATATGTGTCTTGATATCTATGCGAGTTTTATTTAAAATAAATATGTGAATATCTATTTGGCTCTTTATGGTTTAAATTAAAATTTCCAGTTTTTAGCTATGTCGCAGACCAAATCCTGTAAAACTTCTAAATGCAATAACCAACTTTTTTGTGTTTATTTTTATTTTACACCATTTTTGATCTCTTTAAACCACTTTTAATAGTTTTAATCCTACTTTGCCTCCCTAACAATGTTATGAAAGCACCCAAAAGGTTGAGAGAGGCACAAAATAATTCATAATAAATGGCCTTAATTTGTACATACCAAAAATACAAAAAATATATAGAAATGTACATTTGCCTGGGCGAGATTTAGCCTAAGACTATTCTTACATCTAATCCTATAAATTCTATACATAGTTTAAACAATCAATAATTACCTTTTTTACAATAAACAAATTCTAGTAAAACATTTGAAAAGAAAACAATTACCTAAGTGTGTTTATTCACAAAGAATGAAAGAGATAAAAAAATAAAACAATTGCACTTAAATATTTTGGGAGACCAAGAGCTGTCGTTTTAATCTATTTTTGAAAACATTTAAAGATTTTGAATTCTTTATAGATGTGTTTAGACTGTTGTACAGAACAGCATTGTATGAAAAGTTGAGGTTAAAAATTGCAGTAGAATGACGAGGCATGGTTAATGTTAAATTATTTATAATCTTAATGTTCTGAATATTAGTTTGTCTTTTAAATATGGTGGTATTGAACTACTAATTATATTATATATTAGCGATAGGAACAGATATTTGAATAGGTTATTAACATTTAACCATCCAGTTTGTGAAAAAGCCAGTGAAATATGGCCGAAAATAGAAAACATTTTTTTTTTCTATAGGCTGGTGTAGCTATGGATGCACATCTACTGCTTGGTAAATTACAATATGCCTGTGGACAATATGCAGAAGGTTTAAAACATTTCAGATTAGCTGATTTACACCATTTAACTGAGAAAAAATTACCATTGTAAGTATTATGTAAAGAGTTTTCTTCCTTCATAACTTTTATTAGTAACCTACTTGATAAATTAAGTATTTAGTCATATATTGTCCTTCATAGTGCCTTTAGGGAGTGTTTCATATAAATTGTGTTTATAATTTGGTTTAGGAGAAGTTTAAAAATAGTAGCAGAATCATATGCAGTAAAATCCCTATGTCTACAAAAAGATGACACAGCTGCTAGTAAATTCAAAAAGGCAGAAAAACAAGAAGAAATGATTAGGTGTTTGGATTTAGCAACAGATTTAAGTTTGCTCTACATGCAAAAGCTAGAAAAAGAACTGAATTCAACTATCCCCAGTTCAAATACAGGTTAGTAAGTTGTTTAATGCTTTATATATAATCCGAATTATTATAAAAAATAACTTATTTACTAGACCCTAGAGTATGTAAATTTAAAAATGAACATAATTATAAACTGATTAAGTTTATATTCCCAATCATGAATGGCATACTATAAACATTTTTTTATATAAACATGTTTCAAGTATTCAGAAATAAAGGAGACACAAGTTTTTCTTCTTTCTATTATGGGAATAGGTGGGAAATACATTAGAAAATTCATATTATTTTGGTGTCAAAATGAGTGATGCTATTAATCATATTATGTAAAAATTAATCTCATTCTTCATTTCCCTATATATATGAGTAAATACAAAATAAAAGTATCACAAATGAAAAATATGACAAGAATTTTTTATTCATCCTTAAATATAGAACATGTCAAAATATTAGAATACATAAACAGAAACATAAAACTTTAAAAAAATTGACAATAATAGAATAGTACATAATAATTAAGAATCTACACAAATCGCCAAAATTCTTGGACCCCCCCTTTATGTTTGTCAAAATGAGACACTATTATTAAAAGTCAAGAAGTGTGTTACATAGTACATTTAATTTGGTTATGTATCCAATACAAGTTAGCTGAATTAAATTTTAACTGAACAAGAAAAAAATACAAAGGAAAAATAGTGCATAATAAAATGATTACTATATTTTATAATCCAGAAGTAAATCACTTTAGAGCTAAATCAAAAATTCATTAATATTCGGTGTGTCCTCCCTGTTCTTTAGTAGGGTATTAACTTGCCTGTGCGTGGAAACAATAAGGGTGTCAATGTAATCCATTGGGATGTTGTTTCATTCTTCTTGAGCCATGACTGTGAGTTCCTGAAGGGTGATAGGAGGATTAATTCTGTTTGAGATTGCTCGTCCAACGAAATCCCACATGTGCTCAATGGGATTAATATCTGGCGCATTTGCTGGCTACGGTAATCTTTGAATATTCTGAATTTTTAGTACATTTTGTACTCTTCTCGCGCGATGAGGCATAGCATTGTCATCCATGAAAATAAAATTAGCTCCAATTTCATTTCGGAGAGGATAAATAATGGGTTCAATAATGTTTCGAATGATTCTATCAGCTGTCATAGTGTCTGGAATGGGAATAAGCTGCGTATGACCATGCATTATGCCTCCCCAAAACATTACTGTTCCTTCTTGGTATGGAACGACTTCTCTGGCAAAATATAGTCTTTCTCGTCGCCCTGGCCCTCTCCAAACTCTGTGTCGCCGACTGTCACTAATTAAACCATATCTGGTTTCATCTGAAAAAAGAACATTTCGCCAGTCTCTGTGTTCCTGTGTCCACTGTAGACGAGCAGCTATATGTCTGGGAAGTAACCTGGGTACTCTTAATGGTCTCCTAGATCGTAAATTGGCTCCAGAAAGTCTCCGCCGTATTGTGGTACTGGAAATGAATCGACCATACATTCTTCTAAAATGAGTTCGGACAGCTAAGACTGTTACGGTCCGAGTCCGACGTACATAAGCTGGTACATGCCGATCTTCTCTTGGATGTTACCTTAGGACACCCAGTCCCACGTCTCCAGTCAACGCTGTTAGTTTCTTGGTACAAACGCACTATTCGGATAACTGAAGCGCGGGGAATCCCTAGTCTATCTGAGATTCGATGATTCGGCAGACCCTCATCATGCAAAGCCTCTATTCTTGCTCTATTGAACACTGAAATTCTATTGTCAGGCATAGTTGGAAAAAAAAACTCAACAATCACTTAAACTCACAAAATCGATATGAACCACCTTTTAAACATTGGTACCTAAAATTGTGGGAAATTGTTTTTGTAAACATTTTTAGATTCGTATCAAAGGTGAAATAAATAAAGATTAAATGTACAAAAAAGCAGCCATGATAAATATTTCGTTTTAATATTTACGAGAATTTTGGCGATGTGTGTATTTAAAAGATATGTTTATCTGAATTAAACATTTTTTAATCCAGTGGTATCAAATAAATCGTTTTTATTAGATTTTTCTTTTTTGATGTCCTAATTGGGTAATTGACGCATTCTGAATAGATTCTGTTCAGTTATATTCCTATATAAATAGTTTATCTTTTAATCCTTAAGGAAGCCATTCCCCACAACCTCCTGCCACTCAAAAACCGCTTGGAGAAATTCTAGAACAGGCTATCCAGCTGGCACCTGTTTTCCTGCTGCAGCAAAACAAACCCGATATGGCGCTGGAAAGGTACAGAAGATCCCTTTGTGCAATCGAATCACATGGGGTTAATATTATTAGACTGAAATTTATGTGTCAAATGGCGGAACTACTTTTGCACGGTTTGCTTGGAGACAAATACAGAGCACCTATAAATACAGCTCCCAAGATTTCCGTTTGGAAACCGAAGTATTATGCATCTTTGAATCAGGTCAGAACTTTTTTACTTTTGGAATAACTTCAGGGGGCGCTTCATAATAATTTCCAAAAGTGTTTTTGAAATACATGTACATATTAGAACTAGTTAATATTTAAACTTTATTCCAATATATTTTTTTTTAAATAACTTTTAATACAGGTGTTATAATGTTTTGAAAAGCAACTTTAAAATATAAGCCAGCCACTGCCATGTTGATGTGAGTATACTTCATTTTTAATCTAGAATTAGTGATTTTAATTTTCCGCAACAGACAAGTTCACATAGACCTAATGTCTAATAATGAATTAATTATATTTCATTATATATTATATTTTTATATTGAATTCTTATATTTTATTTTTAAATTATTGTATCATTTACCTTAATCATATGTTTTGTTTGATTGTTAGTACATGACTTCACTGAACTGAATAAAATCTGACAAAAATCAAGGACAATCCTGGTTTTTGTGCTAGTTTTCCAGGAAAAACACTTCAAAATTAAAATCAGACAAAACTACACACAAACAAGTCATTTATCGCTCTCGCAATAAAATCAGAACATTGGTATAATATTCAAAGGAATAAGGAGTGCAATAACAACAAATCAACAATGAATAAATTAGCCAGGAGTATTCAAGGGTTAAGAAATCGAGAAGCCAGAAGCAGGACTGCGAATCAATGAATACATTTGTGTTAATATAATAGAAATAAATGATTTGATTTGAAAATGCGACAAAACTTAAAATGTAACACACTCACGGACACATACTAAGGACTACCCTGTTTTTAGACGACTTTTTCAGGGATAACTACAAAACTAAAATCAGACAAAAATCCAACTATACCCAAATATTTATTTATTTACGGGCAATCCATTTGAGAAATAAATTACAATTTTAAATTTATAATTAAAATGTAGTTAAATATATATGGTGCTGAAATAATCGTGGTATAATTCATTAGATATAGACTAAAATAGGCAAAGACTTTAAAAGATTTAAAAAGACAATAAGGTTTAATAAAATATTTACATTAAACATTAAAAATTAAAGATCAAAGATTAAAGCTCAGTACTAAGTAATTGCTTTATAAATTTTTGAAAGGGGGTGTTAAATATCTCAAGATCATTATGAGTGTTGGCTAATCTTAACATTCTTGGAATACAGCTGCTAAAAGTATGGTTTAAAACGATAAAAGGGTACATAAAATGTTTGTTGCTGTCGAGTTAAGCGCGTTGGAACATAAAGATTTATTTTTGTTAGAAGTTCAGTACAGCTGCATATGTCATTGATAATTTTGAAAAGTAATGTCAGATCTCTTTGTTTCCTCCTAGTTTCCAAAGAGGGGATGTTTAGAAAATTCTCTATCAAATCATACTCGCAAAGGACACCCAATTTATAGGCTATGTATCTAAGAAATTTATGTTGCACATTTTCTATGTTTCCGCTGTGCGTTATGTAATGTGGAGACCAGACAGAAGAGCAATAATCTAGGTGAGGTCGGACTAGTGAACAATAAAGGACTTTAATTGCAGTTGTGTCAGTAAAATGATGTGTTAGCCTTTTGATGAAACCTAACATTTTTATGGATTTATGGATAGCCTTAGGTATGTGTTGATTGAAGCTTAATGTGGGATCTAGAATAACTCCAAGGTCTTTAATTTGATTAACAGACTCCAAGATATGACCATTTAAGTTATAATCAAAAGTAGTAATTGGTACATGGGATCGATAAAAACGCATGACATGACACTTTATAGCATTCAAATCCATACCATTTAAGGAACACCAGTTTGATAGATTATCAAGGTCAGACTGAAGCCAGAGGGCATCATAAATGGTTTTAATAATTAGGAAAACTTTTAAATCATCTGCAAATAATAGTGTTCTGCCATTCTGAAAACAATGAAAGATGTCATTTATAAATAAGTTGAATAATAAGGGATCAAGGTGATCCTTAAGGAATACCTGAGGTAACTTAAAATGAGTTAGAATAGTGATGGTTTAGTCTAACCATTTGAGTTCTGTTCGTAAGATAGCTACTAATTCATTGCAGTACGACCCCATTTATGCCATATTTATCGAGCTTTTGAAGTAAGAGAGAATGGTTGACCCTGTCAAAAGCCTTAGAAAAGTCAGTGTACACAGAATCAATCTGGCAACCCTTCTCCAAAGCTTCCGACAGGAAGTCGACGTAGGTAACTAGATTTAATTCAGTCGATTTCCCAGCACAAAAACCATATTGATGATCCGTTATGATACCAGAGCAGTCGTAGGTAAGGTAGTCTGTTATAATGTTCTCAAAAACCTTAGCTATAGTACTGAGAATAGATATAGGTCGGTAATTTTTGACGTATGACTTGCTACCCGATTTTTATATTGGGATGACATAAGATAGTTTCCAATAATCTGGAAACTCACCCGTGGCGATAGATTTATTGAAAATATAGAATAGAGGGCGAGACAATACGAAGCTGCAATTTCTGAGTAGGATGGGAGGAATAATGTCAGGACCCGGACCTTTCTTTATGTCGAGATTAGATAATTTCTCGTAAATGGTCGAAATAGGAATGTGGTAAGAGGAAACATTAAGTTTTGATTCAATATCGTTAAAATTTTGATTTAGATTTTGATTAGTGTAAATTGATGAAAAATGCTTGGCAAACAGATTTGATACTTCACTGCCACAAGAAGCAAAAGAGTCTTCAAGGTTCATATTATCAGGTATGGTATTATTAGATCTTTTGGTACTTACAACATTCCAAAAGGCTTTAACATTACTTTTAACAGAAGTTTCAACAGAATGTATGTAATTTGAATAGCATTCTCTAGATATAATCCTGCATTGTGATCTTAACTGACTGAATATTTCATAATTTTGGGGAGTCCTGTTTAGCTTGTAAATCTTATGTTCAAGCTTCTGAGTTGAAAAGAATACCAATGTGGGAATCTGTTTGATAACCCAAGTTTGCCACATTGCCATAATGTCCAAGGACAAGGAGTATGGAAGATAGAACCAGAAAAGGACAAAAGCAACAAGAACAAATAAATCGTTTCTCTGTGTTCGGTTCTATCTCACTTCTCATTGTCACCATACTAACACGCGCTGTGATCTATACCGAAGCACGAGCCAAAGTAGCAAAACGCTAAAAGAATCTGCAATTAATATTTTTTGCCAAAGTGTGCAATAAAGAAATGGGGGGTCGATAGAAGAATAATTATGATCTTATGATCACCACCCTTGTGCAGAGGTATACCATTAACTGTTTTTAAAGAATCACTGAAAAAACCTGTCTAAAATGAATTATTGATTCTGTTAAAACATTTAATGCATCTTCTGGAAGATGTAAAAGAAGATTAACTGAAATTTTATCCCAATATGGGTAATTCTTTTTTGTGTATTCGGGTAAAATCCTATGATAATTAACTGCAAAATTATTACCTTTTTATCAGACATCATCCATTTTAGTATGTACATGTATTTCAAAAACACCCTGTATATTGTATTTTTGATCAAATGTGGTCAGGTGTCTTTAAATTTTTAGTTTATTCCAAGAAATGAGTTCGAAGAAACCATTTTATTAATATTAGTAGCAGAGTCCATGGCCGTCAGAAACACAGTACTATCCCAATCTCCAGAATTCAGAGATATCAGACTTAGCGCGTTTCAAGAGGCTGTTACAGTATACGATTTATTGGCAGTCGCTACTGTTCGTTGGGGCCAAACAGCTCTTTTGCAGGAGGTAAGTATCCCGTTGTACAAATTCATTCATTTCTTAAAAATTTCGTGGCTATTTTTTTTTATTTTTTTAGTCTTTGGAACGTTCTATGAAGTTTTCATTTGACGAATCTCATATGTGGAAACAATACGCGCTTAGCTTATTGGCTATTAATAGATTTGAACATGCTCTGTCTGTTTTAAAAGAAGTTATCCGTTTAGAACCAAATGATCCCAGTAACCACCTTTTAGCTGCCAAATTATGCTACGAACATCTCAATCTGGCTAAAGAAGGTTTGTAACTATTTACTGTTTTAAGTATTTTTTATTTACGTGAAATAAATTTGATAATCTTTGTGAACAATTTTCCTTGGTAAGGAAAATTGCACAATTCATATTAAGCATAAGAGAAATAATTACTGTATGTATTAAACTTCACAATTAATTGCAAAATATTCGTCACTCTAAATGTACTAAATATTTTTCCAGAAAATTTCAGTTATTTTACAGTTTGCCAATGGCTTTCTCAGTCTGTCCCTGTTTTTTGTCATTGTAAGAAAATTTGCAGTTGTTCAAAACGATCTTAATGCTTAGATATGCAATATGAATTTACGCAATTTTATTTGCTAGCAGGAAAAACCGTGAATTATTAAGTGGCTCCAATGAAGTCTCCTTATTATTAATTCTTTAAGCCTTTTTTTTTTTTCGTGAAACCAATTTAACTGCCTTTGTTTTTTTATTAACAGTAAAATTATTATTTTTAGGTGCACAATTTAGTATGGAAGCCAGAGAAAAATCGTTAACCTCTCCTGGCGGGCTCTTGGGTAGATGTCACTTATATATAGGTATTGGATACCACTTACAGGCCGAATCAAATCAGTTGAAAAAAGATAAAGAACAGTTTAGAACTATGGCACTAAATAATTTTAGAAGGTAAACTTTATTTTTAAAATCTTGTTTTCGGATATATTCCAGTTTTCTCAATTTAAATCTTATACATTCAATTTTTTAGTGCCGTCGAACTTGAACCCAATGATCATCTATGTAGGTATTACCTCGGGTTACAGTTAGCGCTAATGGGAAACATTCCAGAAGGCCAGCAACATGTCTGCTTAGGTTTGGATCTACAACCGGAACATTCGTCATCTTTACATTTACTAGTTCTTCTATTGACCGCCGAGAGACAGCACGGTAGCGCTCTGTTGGTTGTAGAGAACGCGTTGGAGGAGTATCCGGATAGTTTAAATCTCATGTACGTCAAGGCGTATTTAGATTTGCATGAAAAAGGGGGTGAGGTATGTAAAAAAGGGAATTTTTAAATTGGCGCCTTGTAAATAAGTAAATTTTTCATTTTAGAAAGCACTAGTAACTGCAAAACAAATATTAGAGTTGTGGAAAAATTTATATGAAGGCCAAACAATTTCTGATGTGCCAGAATGTGATAGAAAAAGTGACACTAGGTCCGTCTTCCAGCTGTACACTTCTGAAATGTCTGATAAAGATTCAAGTAAGCATTTTATAATTGAACATTCATCCCATTCTGATTTCTAATCTTTAAAAATATTTAGGTTCCTTACATTTACACAATATCGCCGCTTCGCGGGTTGAACAGGCCCTTAGCGAGGTCGCTAGTTCTATGAGCAGTTATAATCCCAGACCCGGTCCACAAAGGGCGTGGATGTTACAGGTGGAAATATGGCTGTTATTGGCCGAGCTCTATTTGGCCTTAGATCAACCAACCGATGTTCAAATGTGTATCCAAGAAGCCATGCAAATTTATCCGTTAAGTCATCAAATAATGCATATGGTAAGTTTTAGTAAATTAAATTAAGTAATAAGCTATGACAACGCATCGGAATTTTTAATCTTTATCACTTAAAAACAGCTGACAAACAATAAAGATTATTATTGGTGCATTATATAGGATTTTAAAAGAATTTATTGGGAACCATCAGAAATTATTTGTATATAAACCAACTTTCTGGCTTTCAATGATATCCTTGTACTGTTTTCTGTTGTATAAAAATAAGTCTTATCGTAAATTTAATAACAAATATGTAAAATTGTTAAAAATAATGAATAAAAAAAAATAAATTATTTTTCCCATATTTATTAACTCAGTGAGACATAAAGGACTTTTCTTTCGTACTCAATTCAAGAATTAAAAAATGAAAGTCGACGCACTACCAGAAATGTGTTCAGCTGTGATCGAAAATGTTGACAAAAGAGTTGTGTCCTGCTAGAGAAGTCGGCAATTTTCTCGATATTGTGTTTCATATATAATTGTAAACAATTAAAGGAATGTGGAGTATGGGGTACCGCAGGGCACAGTGCTGGGTCCTATATTATTCAACATCTATTTAAACAATTTATTTTTTATAAAAAGTGCAGGCACCATTATTACATATGCTGATGATACGGTAATTTTATATACAGATAACACATGGAAAGATTTAAAGCTAAAAGCCGAAAAAGACCTTCAATTAATTAAATCCTGGTTTGAAAACCGCCTACTTACAATAAATGAGAGTAAAACATTTTTTACCCATCTCTGCTAACATATCTGGTCTTCCAACATACAGTAATCTTACTGTTACTGATGACTTTCAAATAAAAGTAACATATAAATTCAAATATTTAGGGGTAGTTCTGGATAGTCACCTTAGGTGGGACAAACATATTGTTACACAGGTTTTTGGTATCTCAATTTATTATTAATTCAACTTTTACAATAACTCAATTCAATTGATACAATAACTCCAATAACATTAACATGTAACGTCTATCATAAAACTGAAAACTGACGTCAGGATCATCCTTATATAACTTACTTGACTCTTCTCGAATATTCTTGACGGGTAATGACATTTCCGGAATATTCTATCTTCTTTTACTTGTACTTTCACTTATTTTTCTATCTGCGTATGCTGCGTAACAATATTGAGTACCTCCTGAAAAAAATACGTTATCTTATCTATAAATTCAACAGCCTAAAGAATATACTTAACTTTACCCAGCTAAAAACGGTTTATTATGCGCTTGTTGAATCTCATATTACATACGCTTGTTGAATCTCATATTTCATATGGAATAGTAGCCTGGGGCGATGTTAAAAACTCATCTAAATAATCTTACAATCTGTCAAAAGAGACTTTTAAAAATTTTGTTTAAAAAGGATAGACTTTACCCCACAAACGCATTTTATAATGGCATAGAAGTTCTAGATCCTCGACAGTTATTTTTCTTACAAAGTGCTTTAGAACTACACAAAAATAAACATACTCTACTTTTAAATGAACATCATTATAATACCAAAAATAAAAATTATACCTACTTACCAGCTACAACAAATAAATCTATAGGGCAACAGTCACATGAATATCTAGGACCTAAATTATTTTCATATCTACCATGTGATATCCTAAATATTACAAATAAATTACACTTTAAAAGGGCCTTAAAGAAATACGTAGCTGAAATACCTCGTGAATCTTTATCGAGTATGCATGACTAAATTTGATTTGTTTTTCGTTTTATTTAATAAAAACATCTAGAACATCACAAATTAGTTGGTTTCTTTATTGTTCTTTTATTATTAACGTATTTTTGTAAAATTTAGATCTATCTTAATTGTAGTAATGTCTTTCCATCTGTTTAAGTCTCAATAATATCCAAGCTGTCCTGTTATTGGGTGTACTCCTCTTTGAACAGTAAAGGATTTCTTAACGTCTTAAAATAGCTTTTTAAATTAGGAATTACTTTAATATTTTTTGCAGAAGGGACTCCTTCACATGCACAGACAAGAGTGGTCGGATGCCAAAACGTGCTTCCAAAATGCCGTCGCCATTAACCCGCTTCACGTCAAATCTCTGCAGCAATTAGGACTGGTTTATCATTATTTGGATCTTCAAGGTCTAGCTGAAACTACATTGAGAGAAGCTGCGAAGATTGAGCCCAAAAATCACATTACTTGGTGAGTTCGACATTTTTTGTAAATTTATTATATTTGAATTTATAAAATATTAATTATTTCAGGTATAATTTGGGAAAAGTCCTAGAAGCGGTGGGAGAATACGAGAACGCCAGCAATGCCATGGCGACGGCTTTACTAGAAGAACAAAGTAGTCCTATTCTTCCTTTCAGTTCGGTTCCTTTATGCTTTGAGTAAATCATTTAGCTACTCAAAAAGTTACTTGAATATGTGGTATTAAGGGTGACTAAAATAATCCCTTCTAAATTATGTAAAATTTGAATGACTTTTATGCCACAATAGGGAAAAGCAGAATTCGATAGGTGGCGCTAAAAAATGTCCTATGTCAATCTCAACTGTGGCCTATTCAAGAAAATAGGAAAGATAAAAGTTTGCTGGTGGCCGCCGTATAGTATAATATCTTTCCTGCAGAGTCACGTCTTTCATATATAATATCAAAAATAATAAGAAAAATGGGGTAAAACACAAAAAAAAACTAAAAATAATTTATTTCGTTACAAAATGTATACAAATCATGTAAAATAACAACATTCTCTGATGACATCCTGGCACGCAACGTGTTAAAAATGATATTTAATAGATATTATCTAATACGTAGAATCATTTATTTACTTTATATATAATTTTTCCTGTATTAGATGAGCGTAAAATAATTGAAGTCGTTTCTACATCTATAGAGTCCCAAATATCGTCCACTGAAGTAACTTTTTGATCTAATTGGTTTAAATTCCAATGGTTTTACTGTACGGGTAACACATTATTCTAATTTTCTTTGTAACATTGGTTTTTTTAGAGTTATTTTTCATAAACGTTGATAGTTTTAATTTCCCTAATATTAATTTCCATATTTTAAAAGTAACAGCAGTATTAAAACTGATATTGTTTTTAAATTTTCTTTTTTAAATACTTGTAATGGTACCTCTACACTCTCATAGTTGACGTGTCTCATTTCGATTGTGAGATTGTAGACTGGTAGAGGTAGGGTTGTAAGAATTGCTGTTAATGATTTAATTATAAATGCATTTAAGCTGCAGTAGTCCCAATGATACCGATTTTATAAATCTTTATAACTTAACAAGTGAGATTATAGGTGATGTTATTTTGTTATTTATTGAATATTTTAATTATTTTTTGTACTAATATTAGGTGATTGTTATTTCTTTGTTAAAACAGTAAACTATATATTATATATTTGTTTTTTTTTTTTATGGGCGAAAAATGGCATCATCCAATCTAAGCAAGAAAAGAAAAATCAGAATATTGGCTGGATGACTATGTTTGTATAATAAATACCAAACTCCCTATAGACGGAGAGCTGGCGACATAAAATAAAAATTTTGTTATTTACAGTTTCGATTGTTACCAACATAGTGAGAGGCGGGCAGTCAGAAGTCACCCTGGAAGTATAAAGTAAGTGTGGGGGATTAAACATGCAATTTTTTTTGCAAAATAAGTGATAAGGTACAGCTCTGAAAATATGCAGTATTATCGGAGATAGTATAAGAAAGTAGGGAAAAAATTGTCAGACGTCTAGGTTGAAGAGAAAAAGTCGTCAGAAGGCGCTCATGTTGCCAAACACTTTAGCAACAATGATGTCACTTGATACACTTCTGACAATTTGTATTCTTATTCAGTAATTTGAAATAAAATTACTTACAAATCGTCAGAAGGCTAGTGAAATCCGACAACCGGGGGTTGATAATTAATTTAAATAATTCTTATATATTACATATTACAGTGCAACCTCTTTAATCCGAACACCTAATTGTCAGACCTTGTTCGGATTATCGAATTGTTCGGATTAACGAATATACAATAAAACGCCTCTTACACATTTTTAGAACTTTAGATCTATGTTTGTATATTGATTTATGTCACATACTTTGATTACTATACGAGGCAAGAGAGAGGTCCGACACGCCCAACATAGGGCGCGGCCATTTTGAACCCTGTGACACAGTTTACAGCTAAAGAATCAGATCGCTCACTCTGCGTCGGCACTTTGGATCTCAATGTTTCAGTTTATCTGTGCAACTCGGATAATACAATATATGACAACCGCCTATAATAAAATAGCAGTCTTCTGCGTATCCTGAATTTGTATCCCTGGAGTGGTGGATTTTATTTTGGAACTTTCAACTGGTCCGAGTGAGCTAACTGATTCTTTAGCAATAAACTGTGACTTCAAAAATAATATTCACTGACACTGACAGCAGCAAGCAAAATATCAGGTGCGTTTTAATCATCAGCTTCTGCTTCCGGAATTGTCGGTTTAGTCGTTTTAACCTGTCAGATTAAAACAAGAAAACCGACAATTCCGAAGCAGAAGCGGATGATTAAAACGCACCTATTAAAAATACTGCGCCAAGATGTAGGCAACACGTAATAAGGGTTCAAAATGGCGGAGTTTTCTATCTCCTTTTAAAAGGCACTCAGAAAGCTGCGCAGTGCGACCATTCTCCGTATAGTAAAAGAAAATCAAAGTATGTGATTTATGTACATTTAAATGCATTATCAAATTACATATGGGCAACGCGGGCCGCGCTGCAGGTCCTTTCCTGTCAGCGTTCGGATTGCAGAGGCGGCGTTCGGAATATCTCGCATCACGATTTGCGTTCGGATTATCGAGGTTGCACTGTATATTCTTTTTATTTCGAATTCAAACAACATCCAAGCATCTCCCGACTCGTAGGCGCCGTTTAATTACTTCTGGGAAAAGAAATCGACGTGTTAACTGTAACGGCCGCTAGACAAAACCAGATGTAAAACGTTAGGACTATATTCAGGAATTAATACAAAGCTTTAAGGTCTTTGTGCACCGAATTCACAGTCGTTCTCTTTCCGATACATTTGCATATATGGGAAATTTAAGTATAAATACAAAGGTTTTTGTGGGGGGGGGATGGTTAGCTTTTTCATATTCACCGAGTCAAGTTAACAAAAAACGCAAATATCCATGTTACCGCTACGGTGACTCCTTTTTCTTTATATTCTTCAAATATAATTAAAGAGATATCGCTACCCTTACGGTGGACGCGCTTTTGTTATATTTTGAGAACGGAAATAAAAGATATGACCAGTGACCAGATTTTTTCTAATGGTGGAGTGATTCACTTTGAATAAAAAATTGTCAAGTAAAAACTACCAATTACGAAATTTAATATTTTATTAGAAAATATTTACATAAAATTACGAAAATTACATATAGTATATATATAATATAAAGAAGTGATATATTTACTAACCTATTTAACAAGTTCTATAAAACTTAAAAATATCAATTAATGTAAATTAAGTTTACGAGTCTTTTATTTCACATTTTTTAATTCTAATCCGAAAATTATTGTCTTAAGTTTCAACAAAAAATAAAAAAAAATACATATAAAACGAACTCCATAAAATTTAAACATAAAACCTATTCAATATTTTATATTCATTTATAAAAAAATATACAATAATTGTTTATCACATTTCAGGAATTCAGGACATACAAAACTTTCAACAGCAAATTTTGTACTCATTTATTCTTAATAACTTTGAACCTAATTATTAGGTATACTTAAATCGCAGATTGATTTAAGAAACATCTTGCAGTACTCTAAATAAATCTTAACCAAACGCAGAATCTTAGAGGTCAGACCAAATGGCTCCACAATAAAATTCATAGTCCAATCATTAGGTACTTTTTGTTGTAAACTCCATTTTTGCAAAAAATACAGTATAGAAAAGATTTAATTAATCGTTATAGATACCAGTTGTTTAAATTGGAAAAAAAGAAGTGAATTTATTGGTTCTTTTTTAGTCTCTCTCAACTTGTATTTTTGATCATTTTTGAAACCTCCATTTATTTTTTACCCAACCAATTTTTTTTAAGTACGGTCCTATTCATTTTCACAATTCCTAAAAAGTTCTTAAATTTTTAAGTAATAGATTTCTAAGAAGATAGGAACAAATAAATACAGAGAATGATCTAGACCAACCTGCGGTCCCGCCAAGCTTTTATGTGCGACCCGAAACACCATTATTATGAATCTGATTTATCAAAACTCTGGATTTCTAAGTTTTTAAAATCTTAAGTGAAATGCGCGAGAACATTCATCGGTCGCTGAGCTAAATATCACGTTAATTTTTAAATAAACGTTTGGATGTATTTAGATTTGTGTTTTATTTATTAGATGGGCAGTAAATGTACAATCAAAATTAAGTCTATACTAATTTTAAATGGATTCTACTACAAAACGGGAAATAAAAAAGATGTTGGGATGCTTCGAGGAAATTTTACGTGAGAAGTAAAACTTAACTAGAATATATGAAGCCTTCGACATCAAAATACTTCGGTTTACGTTGTTTTATTAATAGTAATGTAAATTGTTTTTATTATGTAACATTTTATTGAACATGTTTCTTCTAAATTATTGTTTTCTTTAGACTCACTCTGGTCCCGATTACACAAACTTTATACGTATTTATATGCAAAATTGAACCCCGACTTACGCGAATTCGACTTACACGGCTATCTCTTGGTCATACCTATCGCGTAAGTCCGGGGTATTACTGTATATCTAAATTCACAGAGCTTTCTAAAAAATAAAAGGTTTGTTCCAACAGCGAATCTGATCCGATGAACTGTCAGTAAAACGATCCAAAGTATTTTCTGATTCGTACATGAATGAGTCGGTGGATTGTCAAAACGATCAGAGCTTCATAGCTTGTACAATATATCAGCACATGCGCATTTGAACGTCTCTTCTCGTATGTGCTATTTGTAATTGTTCGGATTTTAAGTTAGCTTAGAGTGGCTTGGGTTTCTATTTCTTTTAAATGAAATAATTTATGTTTTTATCTTGTGTACGGTTTTTTTATGTAAAATAAGTACTTATTTTTAATAAAAAAACATCTTAAGGTTTCAAAATTATACATTTACATAGAGCGTTCGAGACAGCTAAATAAATGTGTTTTGTTGTATTTTAAATAATGTTTAAAATAGCAATTCACCAAACATGTGTTTGGTTTGTCCAATTCCATTGTATTTTGCGTTCCAACAAGTACAAATCGCTGATTAAACAACGGATGAATAAACGGACTGACATGTGCAGTGATTAGTTTACGAATGCATCCATGCACACCAGAAAGGAGCTGTTGGAACAAACCTAATGATAATATACAAGCTAATATTTTGTGCTACATTCTTAAACTCATTGAGTGAAACAAGAGCCATTGATGACATCGAAGATGTTGAAATTATTCTAATTATAACTGCATATGGTGAAATTCCAAATCCCGTTCTATTGGAGGTGTTTTGATATTTATACATAAAAGCTTCGAATATTGTTTCAAAACTTATATTTTAGATGGAAATTATTGGTGATAATCAAATTTCGGTGTTCTGTCCAAATATCTATGAAAACGGACCCGACATTTTAATTTTGAAAAAAAAAAAAAACCAATAAATATTTCTTGAAAATACACATCTTTTTCCCATTTAACCAACTTTGTATTCACAACAGTTAACGAAATCTGAATTCCTGCTTTAAAAAATGATTACAGGTTACCTCAAATTTTATTGCAGATTTCCCATTGAAAAAGACCTCTTGTCATTGACCTATTTTAAAATTTTGTCATATTTATCTGAAAGTTTAAGTCTTGAAGTACACACATATGAATCACAATTTATACAGCACTTTCTTCACAGCAATGTAATTTCGATTGGCACACATAAAATTAAAATCACGTATTAACGACTAGCGGAACCTCTAATGGACGGTTCGATTCCGAATTGACGTTATTGAAATGCAAAGGATGTTTTTTAAGTAAAGCAGGATCCAAAGTTATCACGGGGGGCGTACTTTCGGGCTGTTTCAAAGGCGGCGCGGTCAACTCGAATTTATCGTCGATTTTCAACATGACGTTCGCGTGTTTCTGATTCGATTTGTAGAAACCGTTTTTGCTAGAATGCGGTAAAGCGTATTTGAGTTTATTCCAGAACCACGGTTTGCCCCACTCGATGTAAGTGTTCGTACTGAGGTAGGCTTTAATATCGGAATCGAGTCTTTTTTCATCCAGATCGCCGTATTTCACCACAACTAGTCTCGTTCTGCCCTCTTCTAAGGCCTTTAAATGGGCCGATTTGAATTCTACCTTTCCCCATTCGCTCTCCAAGAAGTTATTGGAGAGTATCACAAGGGTTCTTCTGGAATTGGCGATGGAATTGTTGACGTGGGTCAAAATCATCTCCCCGCCCTCCCAATCTCTGACATGAATGCAGGTTTTGAACGGTTTAGGTCCGGTTTCCAGTACGGGTAGTAAATTTTGAATGACGAAATCTTCGTCTCGGTGAGAGTAACTGAGAAATATATCGTATATTTTGTCTTCGTCAAGTTCTTCCTCGCTAACGAACCAAAGACAGAGATTCTTGGAGAATAGCCAAATTTTCACCTCTTGTCTGTAGTAGATGTAGAGAACAAGACTTGCGACGGTTAATAACAAGAAACTAAGGATTGGTAGGACGATCATTAAGATGAACGACGTGGATTTGCAAAGCTCCCGTTTTTCTACCAGTGGTTTGTTGTCGTCCCTACAGATTACATCTGCCGAATTAATCTGAAACTAAAAAATATCGTGCTTTAAATAGAACTTGATGGTATTTTCGCAAAATAGTTACCTTCCTGAAATTATCTTTGATAAATATTTGAAGATTGAGTGCAGAACATCCACAGGACCACGGATTATGCGACAATTTCAAAATCTTTAAAGATGCATTGTTCATAATCTCCAGAAGCTCCGGATCTAAGTGAGTTAACTCGTTGCGATCTAACGTCAATTTCTGAAATAAATTCGATAATATTAAAATATAAACTTTTTATACTCATGTACTATAATTTATTAGTTAATTAAAATAAACTAAAATAAGAAGTTATCTAACGCCCATTTACACCGATTTTTTTAAGGAATAATTAGTCTTTTAAAGTACTGTAATGAGAGCTATTTCGTTATTCAGTCCTGCTCTAATCCTCCAAGTCACTCTCTGTCTTATTTGGCCTTTGAGGCTCAACTTGTCCGATTATCATACATAATTAAACCCCTTAATACCAAACATATGGACGATTATGGCGAAAGCGTTTTCGATTACTTTCCATAGCTCCACCAGAATTTTAAATGTGTAAATAAATATTGGTGGCGGAACACGGAGCAGTCAGTCGTATACAAACATTTGTGAAGATAAATAGTGAATAATTTAAAGATATTCGAAATATATATAAATTAACATAGTATTGTTTTAAAATAAAGAAGTATTCAAATAAATTAATAACAAATAAACTGTTGTTTAAAATAAACAACCGTAACAGTACCATTAGCGGTTTTTGTGTGTTGCACCAACTTTAAGAGGCTCTTAAAGCATCCATTAAAGCAGCATTAGCTAACTCGCCAAATTCTTTCCCTTAAACATGTTTAATTGTTCTGAAATATTTGATTTTTATTTTGTAAAATTTGTGGTTTGTTAAAATGGAAACTTTTGAAGAGGAAGTCCTGGCGGAGTATTTTCTAGATGACTTAGAAGTCCTTGATTTTGTAGATATGGGACGCATTTTTTAGGCCAAATTACTATAAAGAGAGTCCAAAGGACTTTTTTAGAAGAAATTTTCCAATATATTTTTATATTGATGTGCTAATGTAAAAAGATGATTCACTTTTCTAGGTCTAAAATTCAGCCCCCTAATTCTCTTTGCTCCTGCCGACATCTTGAACAAAATTAATTATTTTTTACAAAACACCACAAAAACCAACCATCCAACCAAAGAAATTAGGAAAATTATAGCAGGTTAATTACATACATTACGATTAATTAAAAAAAAACGAAAACCAGAAAAAAAATTTTAATGGCCAATACAGGGTTCTAACAAAAAACACAAAAATCACTGTGCCACTGCGATGTTGCCGAATTGTAATAAGGACGATGAACAGTTTAGGAAAAATTTTGAGAAAATCATTTGGAATTTAAGTAGCAATTAAAGTTAAAGGTCAATTAGTTAAATAACAGTTAAAAAAAGTCGGAGCAAATGGACTTAAGACATGTGTTATACAATAATATGAGCGTTCGGAAAACAACTACTCCTTTAGCTAATACCACAAACAGGATTTGAATTATATCCCAAGAAAAACAGCAGAGATAGAATAGCATATTGTTTTTGACGATTGAAATACAATACTTTTTCTACAACCCTGTTTATATCATAATAATATATTAAAAATAACAAGGTTTCCGAAAATGAATTTACGTGATTGTCAACTCTCCAATCCATGAATTTTGCATATATTTCCTCATATCTCTTTTTAGATTTCACTGGTAAAAAAATCCAAAGAGGTTTCCTCAGCTTGATTTGCTATTTCTGGTGTTGTTTTTGGAAAATCTAAATCACTTTCCGTTTCAGAAATCATAATAACTTAAAAAACTAACAATGACAAGTCTAAATAATTAACGAGGAACTAGATATAAATTGTTTTTAAATCTCACAGTATTTTTACGATATTATTTTGCTTTTTAATTAAACGAAAATAAAATAAATGCATTCTAATTATAGAAATGATTCCTGTCTTTCTTTATTAATAATTTAAAATCGTCAAAACATTATATACGAGGGCGGGAAATTATTGAAAATATAAACTTAACTTTCATCACTAAAGACGAAAGTTAACGTTATGAGAATTTCGGAATTCACGTTTTCGCTGAAAGTATTCTATTACAAAATGATGGTTTTGTAAGGGGTTGTAGAAAAAATTAATTTCAACACTTTAACTTCGATTTTGCTTACTAAGGAAAACGTCATTCTTGGCCGGTTTCGTCATTATTAGGACCCATCAGACTCAATAGACAATATCGACTCCAGTATCTAATGGAATCTGCAAATGCTTTAAATTTACTCTCCTACATGGATTGAAGTTGAATGAGAAATAAGTCACAGAGTAAAAAAGTTATGCTACCTGGCACTTAGTAAGCAAAATCAAAGATAAAAACTAGGTGGAACCAAAAATCTGCTTACGAAATTCATATTAATAAGCCCTCTACATCGACATTTTACTAATTGTAGTTAATATTCATAATGTGAATTTGTACAAATCATAAGACTAATAATTAATTTAACATAAATAAATAAAAATTCTTTGGTACAGTTTTTATAAAATATTTTGGAATTTTTTTATCTTCTGGTGCAGTCAATATAAAAAAAAAAAAAAGAAAATAAAATAGCTATTTATAAAACCAGTTGCAAAATGCTTTATTTTATGTAACAAGTGAATAATCAGTTACATAAAACGGTATTTCGCAACATGTTACATACAATATTTTTTCTAATTTGGACTAGATTATTTATAAAATTGAATTTTGGTATAAGAAATTACTGATATCTAGGCAAACAATATTACTATGTTCTTGTATTGTTAGTTGCATATGAATCATTTTATTAACAGAATCTAATATTCATTATTTATTCCCAACGACATATAGTGGTTTAAATGGCTTATTAAAGTTATTTAGTTTTCAAAAAGTGGGTTATTTATCTACATCACTATCAACAAACTAGGGGAGATGTGTTTAAAATCTTGAAAGACTAGTAAATGCTCCTCTTTTATTCAGACTTTAAAAGAATATTTTATTTTTTATTATAATGCGAAAGTTGTAACTTGTTTGTGTCTAATAAAAAAAACTAACTACCATTTCCCATTAATTTGCTAAATCAGAACTTGCTAAATCAGAACTCGCTAAATACATCTTGCGGTCACAAAACTGATTAAATTCAAAATATTTTTTCTATTTTGTTTTTTATTACCCACCAAAAAGTTTTAATAAGTGGTCAACATTCTCTTAAAATAAGTACCTTATGTATTAGCAGATCGGAAACCACGTATTTTTGAAGTTCAAGGTTATTCACGGATTTAGAAAGTTTTTAAACCGCACTCCTCAAATTAGTTGATTAGATTAAAATAAACGTTTGACAAATCTTTCATGTCAGTTTTAATATTTTTAATAGTATTATTATTTTATTATAATTAGATTCATTTTTAAGAATTCTTTCATTTTCAACATTGAAAGAGTGCAAATATTCTAACGTGTATTTTATTAGGACAGTAAAATCTAACAATAATACACACACATCTCCAAAAATCTTGCCCCCCCCCCCCCTTGGTAACTTTTACCGCGGTCAATGTAAGATGACTATTTTTTGTGTATACATTCTTTATTATCTTATCACACATAAATACAACAGGTTGTAAGCAAAAAACTGTTTTCGTCCGAAAATATGCACCATTTAAAAAGAAATCAGTTCTAAGCTGACATCGAGTATTAAATTATCAAGTAAATTTGTCATGCCAGGTAATCCGATCTCTCAGTTTGTCCGGGCAAGAATAGTGGCCTTACATCAAGTGGATTTGTCAAATCCCCAGATTCGTCATCTGAATAGTTCACAGACTTCGGTAAGCATTGTGGCCTTTTTCCAGAAAACGGGCAGTGTTGTACGAAGGACGGTGACTGGTCGACCCAGAGTGACATCATAGAGATAAAACCAGTAATATGGCAAATTTTAGTCGAGGGAACCGAAGTATAACGGTAACAGCCCTTCGAAGTAATTTTTTGCAAAAGTATCGGAGGGTAGTTTCGAGAAGTTCTATAAGAAAAATATTGAATTCCTCAAATCTAAGGGCAAGAAGACCTTGAAGAGTACCTAGGCTCTTACCCCACACAGAGCTGCACGTTGCCAATGGGCTCAAGCGCACAGGAACTGGCCTTTTACCACAATGGAGCAACGTGCTCTCTTCGGACGAGTCAGGATTTAACCTACAGAGTGATAGCCGGCGAGAAAGGGTCTGGAGGGGTTCAGGCAGACAGAGATGACTTACTTTGACAAGAAGTGTTATTCCCTATCAAGGCGGATCAGTGATGTTTGGTAACCGCACCGCTTATTTTGATTGAGAGAACTATGACAGGTGTCATACACGCTGAAAACATTATTCAACCAATCATTCAGCCTTTGCGCAACGAATTTGGAAACAATTTCATTCTTCAATACGAAAATGCCAAACCGCATCGCACGCAAAGGGTACAAAACATGCTCCAGGAAGGAAATATCAAAATAATTAACTGGTCGCCAAACTGACCAGACATGAATTCCATTGAACATGTATGGGATTATCTTGGCAGAACAATATCCCTTTAACCCTACAGGACTTGACTGTAGCTGTTCAAGAACAGTGGGACAGTATATCTGATCATTTTATTGATAACCGGATTCGCGGGATGCCACGACGCGTTGGCCAATAGGCCTTTTCATCATGTGATGAGCGCAAGCACAGCCGCCATGTTGCAATTTGAAAGATTATTTTTAATATATTATACCTATCTTCTTTTCCTAAAAGTAAAAAAGTTTTAGTTTTTTTTGTGACTTATTAGTAGGATGATTTGATTTTATATGTTTCTTTAAATTTGGTAAATGTCACGTTAAAAATAGGGACACAAAGTTCAAAATTCCACTAAACTTTATCCTCTTTGATTTTAATTGTTGAGACATTCTCAAAACTGTATTCACTTATTAATATCTACGTAAATGAATATGACAGCGAAAAATACCCAAGCGGAGAACAAAAAACTGCATCCCAAAATAAATACATAAATAAAATGTTTAACACTTTTTTTTAACTGGCTATGGTCATTGGTGAATAGCGCCCGCAGATTCGCCCTTTCAACGGATAAAAATTATCATTAAATGTGTTTCACCGACTGAGTTAAAATGACTAGTAAGTACCTGTCAACAATAAAACTCAATCACCGGTAGCGCCAGTGATTTTCAAATCACCGGTGAAAAGTAACCGGTAATGATATATCGACCACTCGATCACATTATTAGGACTTTGCAGGAAATATACATTCATATTTTAGTCATACAAATTTAAATTTGGATAAAATTAAAATTTAATGTCTTACCTCGATTCCTTGCGGGATCCACTTCAATTCTTGCAACTTATTATTGGATAAAAATAGATTCTTGACATTTTGGTAACCCAGGCTAGAATTGAGCCCGCCTCGAATGTCGTTTCCGATCAAATTCAACTCAACGTTTTCGTGATCGTTGACCGGTATCTTAGGGAAGCTGGTCAGGTTCCTATTCGAACAATCGAAAACGAGGAAACTCTTAAACGGCCTCCAGAAACTTTTGCACTCTTTCGGACAACCTTTTACCGGTTTTTCGCAGCTGACGTTTTCGGGCTTCAGTTGCTGAATTTGAATGTCTTGGAATATCTCGGGTTGCGTGCAACGGGTGCCTCCTACCTGAAGGTATATTTGCGCCGTGACCTTCGGTTTCATTTGTTGGCAGTATTGAACCAGATCGTAGTTAGTGCAATCGCAAACCAAAGGATTATTTTGTAAGTCGACTTGCACTTGTGACCTGGGCGGATTGTTAGCCTCCAGCAGAACATCTACATATTTTAAATCGACGTACTTTATTGCGTTGTTGCTTAGGTTGAATAATTTCAGAGATTCAGAGGGTTGAGAAATAATATAGTGCACCTAAAAAAAAGTATATAAAATGCGATTTTATTACAAGATAATTCACAAATAGATAGTTTAAAAAGTGTAAAAGAATCATTAAAGCCTTTATATCATGAAATAGTACATGGTGTTTATATGAATCAATAAAACATGAGTTTCTTTTAGTAACATCAAAATTACTTGTTAGATGAATCATCGTAGAAATTAGATACTTTCATTTTTTGCCGAAGTGAATGGACTGTGATAATGTGATGTCATTTTTCTAAAAAAAAAGTAAAAATAACCATAACAACGCCTGCCAATGTCGTCATAGTTGTCAAAACTTCAGACGTGGTTAAGTTTGTCCTTTGTTTACATTGAATTTATCTTATAGTGGATTGTATTTGTTGCACTATGTGTAAGTTTTCTGTACTAATCGCATTTGATTTGTTCAGCATTGGGAGTCTCATCTCTCATCTTCGTTCCACAGAATGCGATTCGTATGTAATGTCTCTCTCTATTCAATTCGTTACGTGTTAAGTACGCACATAAGAATTACTGCCCAGTGCAGCATCAAATTTTTAACACATACTTGAGTAGCATATTCTTTTGACAAGTATGACAGTTCGAATACAGTGTCGAGTGTGACACTAGTGCAACAAATAAAATGCATTATTAAATTATCCTAAAATGTGTTGTGCTCACATTTAGCAGTTTAGCTTTGTTGTTTGCCATAGGAAATTTTTTCTACGACTATCACATAATATTAAAAATTAGTCAAAATGAGAAAATGCTGTTTTGTATTATAACCTCAGAAAAAGATATATTAAAGCTTGTTTCTTTAGTAATATTAATTAATATAGAGGATGAGTCATATAAAACTCTAGAAATGCATATGTCTGAAACCAGATAACATTTTAAAATTTAAACCTATTAAAAATCATTTGGTCGCTAGGAGTGGATGATTATCGAAATAAATTATTGATCATTAATAATAATCGATTATTTTCGATCAATCAATTATTTTCAAACAATCTATTTTTGTTCGCATTTCCTTTAAAATCGACTACTTGATTATCTTTAAAAAATCAAAAATAATAGATTAATTAAAAGGCCAATTAACCGATAAATCAGTGTTTACAAAAAATAATAAACGAATTATCGTTTATTTTAAATAATCTATTTTTTTTTTCGTATTTCCATTGAAACAGATTATTCGATAACATTTGAAAAATCTAAAATAATCGATTAATTAAAAAGTCGAATAATCGATAAATCGATTAAAAAAAAAAGAATTATTTCCTTTAAAATCAATTATTCGATCATTTCTAAAACATCGAAAATAATCGATTAAGGGAAAATAACCAATTAATTAAGAAGCCGATTCTACGATAAATCGATTTTCAAACAAAATAACTGAATTATCGATTATTTTCAAATAATCTTTTTGTTTTCATATTTCATTTAAAATTGATTATTAGATTATCTTTGAAAAATCAAAAATAATCGATTAATAAAAAGCTGATTGACCGATAAATCGATAATTCTAAAAAATAACCGAAATATCGATTATATAATATAACCGATTATATTCGATCAATCGATTATTTTTATATAATCTATTTTTTGTATTTTAAAACAAATTATTGGAACACCTTTGAAAAATAGAAAATAATCGATTAATCGAAAATAATCGATTAATTTAAAAAGTCGAATAAACAATAAATCGATTTTTCTAAAAAAAATTGATTATTTTCCATAAATCGATATTTTGTAATTCCATTATAATCGATTATTCCATTACCTAAAGAAAACAATTTATTGAAAATGTTCGATTAATCAAAAATAATCGATTAATTATAACGGATAAATCGATTTTCATGAAAACGATAAATCGATTATTTTTGTAACCCCCATCGGTTGTATGCTTTTATCCGAGCATTTAGCTCCAAAATTTAGAGATTCGGATTTATTGATCCTGTTATCTTTGAAACCGCATTCGATTGTATAATAAATATTGCTAGAATTTAGATTTTTTTAGTAAGATTGTCTTCGAATTGTTTAGGGGTTTATAATGTAACATTTTACTAATAATATGACTAATTTTCGTAACTTTAGTATTTTTTTGCTTATACTAGATCATATTGCGCGTTTTACTTTGTTTTAAGACTTTAAGATTCAAATGTCACTTCCGATTTAACCGCAAATAAAATGAACCTTGAAATTTTAAGTAGGTGAACCTGTATTTCATCTAATATTCTTGTAAAAATAGCTAATAAAGGGCTAAAAACCACCTTTAGTAAATATTCTTATAAAACTACTTTTAAAAAACAAAATTTCGTTAGTAACAATGCCTATTTACTTCTTTTTAGATTAAATGTTTAAAATTTTACTTTTTTGTAAATTAATGCATTATGAAATCAATTTTCTGAAATATTATGTATTTGATGCTTAATATTTATTGAAACCCCTTAATGCGGATCTGAAGTACTCAGCCCAGAGGATCTTGGCGCTTTATGTCAAATCGTTAATAAATACTTACCGCTGAAAACGAATATATCTTTCATAACATTGGTACTTGTATTATAAGTATATACAATTTTTCAAGATACATCGTCGCATTTTGAACTTGAAATTGAATAACTAGAACACTTTAAATTGCTAAAACACCAACAAATAAATCAAAAAACAGCTGTCAATGGTGATAGAACTCAGGCGGAGGTGATCGTTGAATGGAAAAATCGGAGCAATTCGGGTGGCGTCGTGCAAACAATGATTTTCAATTGGTGGGTTACTTTGGGTTAAAATAGACAACATGCGCAGTGTGCAATGTTACATCTTCGGTCTCTTTAATCTAAGGAAATACCTAATAAATGGTCAATGTTTATACAAGAAAATCCATGGCTTTATAAATATGATTATGGTGTTTTGCATTTGTAGCTTCATTATTATTACATATTCGTTAAATTTTTGTTAACGACACAATAACAGATAATATCGACATATGACATCGTTGTCACGGTAACTTCTTTTGTGTAGAAACAAATACGTGTGACCAAGTTTATTTTGACGTCACGAATATCACGATCCATTAGTATTACAATAAAAATAATATACTTACAGGAACGTCCTTTATGCTGTTATAACTTAAATCGACTGTTTGGAGGTAAATTAAATTATTAAAATCTGGCAATTCTTCAATAAGATTATTCCTCAACATAAGACTCTCCAGCTTGAGAATATTGTTGAACGGATTTTCGTTGATGCTATAAGTCATCTTGAACCGATTATGAGATAAATCTAGGGACGTCAAGCTTCCGAGATAATAGAAACTGTTGAATTCGATAAAAGAGATTTTGTTGTATCTAAGATTTAAAATCTTCAATTTCTCCGTTTTCCTGAATAACTCGTTGGTAATATTCGATAGGTTGTTGAAGCTTAAATTCAAGTCGACCAAAGAGTTCAAACTTAAGAATATTTCATCCGGAAGCGAAGATAACATGTTTCTGCTCAAATCCAAATTTTCTAATTTCGTCAATTCATAGAAAATCCTCTCAGGTAAATTTTTCAATCGGTTTATATGCAACTTAATTGTTCTGACAGCTTTTGACCCTCTAAATAAGTTCTCGGGAACGTCTTCGATTCCGGAATTTTTCAAATTCACGATATCTAAATTCGGCAAATCGGCGAAAAGATAATCGGGCAATACCAATTTGGGATTATCTTCCATTCTAATATTATCTAGGTATTTGTTGTGTTTAAAAATGTTGACCGAAACCTTGTTAAGTCTATTCAATCTTAAATTGATGCTTCGAAGTTTTTTAAGGTCTGCAAAACCGTCTTCCTCAATGTCTTCGATGCTGTTGCTGCTGAGCTCTAAGGATGTCAAATTGTGTAAACCTACAAAAGTATTGTTTTGTATACGCGTAATGTTGTTACCCCACAAATGGAGTTGGTACAATTTATTAAGATTTTTAAATAGTCCAACAGGGACATCGGAAATGATGCTTCCAGTGAGATGTAACACTTTGAGTGACGGTGGGAATTTCAACGTACTAATATCGTCTACTTCACTGTGGTCCAACACAAAATTGCTTAAATTTGGTAGGTAATCCAGAACATCATCTTCGAGCTTATAATATATATTGGTTAATTCCAATTCTTTAATATTCGATAATCCACGAAACAAGTCCTTAGAAATTGTTTGATTCAACGATGATTCCGGTATGGTGACATTCTCCAATTTAAATATGGTAAAATTATTAATTCCGAAATGCGTTAATATGGGTTGAAAATTGTCATCGGGCAACGGGCAATATTTGAACGATACAAACTTGACATCCCCGGCTTTGTACTGGGGTAAAAAATCCATATTGAAAACGTCTAAATCCTTGCATTCGATTTCGAGGTTCTTATTAGGAGTCGATTTAATCAAAACGTTGTTCTTTATGGCAGGACACTGGAATTCATACTCCCCGTTGTTGAAACAATCACATTTGCGCGTTTTATCAACATTACACAAATTCTTTGAATTTACTTCCAGAAAGGCCATAATTATAAATAATCCTTTTATTACTGACGCGTCCATCTTTAGTCTGTTATCTGAAACAAAATAAATCGTGTTGTGAAATTTTAATAATTACAAATATTTGCAAAATGTTGAATTTTAGAGTGATAGTGGGTTTTCTGATAATTTATATGAAGATAAATAGGCGATGTTGAATTTAATGAAGATATCTCGTACAAATGTAATTCGAAAAACATTTTATCAAATATTTTATCTCGCACGTTCGATATAAAAAGCGAAAAATGGAACGAAAGTAAACCAATAATACTTTATTGGAATGTGACTTAAAGGAGAACTTATATACTACAAATGAACTACTAAAAAGTACTTGATTATTTCAAAATTGTTTGGTTAAAAAATGATTCACCATCATTCTTTTGTAGGTACTTCCAATCAAATATTTCAGAAAACTGTTGTATTTGATTGCCCTACGTTTTTTTTTTTTAAGAGTAATAATAAAAATAAAGGACATGTTGTAGACAGACATATTTATGACATTACACGCGGGAAATTTGAAAAAAAAAAAACGTTTTGACCCGTACGTCAAAATTTTACCGTCTCTCGTCTTGTCTCGAACGAGACGAGAGAGACATTTTCTCTCGAAAACAGATTCGAGACGAGACGAGAGAGTGTCATCTCTCGACGAGAATTTCTCGTTTCTCTCAAGCTCTCTCGAACAATTTTCTCTTTGCTTATTTGAAACTTTCAATTGCTTATCGTAACTTAAAATTTTAACATATTAGATTTCGAGATAGTCAAAAAATTAACTATAACACACCTATTCTATATACAGGGTGTCCCAGCTAAAACTTGTCTATTATTTCTGAAAGCATATTAATTTTCAATACAGTGGCGTTCCCACAGTGAATCTACTTACGATGATAACATTTTAGGTGATGAAAAATAAAAATATCTTGATAAAACTTAGTTTTCATTAAAACTTCACCAACACTTGATCGATCCTCAATTTCAGTACACCAATGTATTTGGGATTAAATTCCCTTTAAAATGATGTATCACAAGTAAGTAGTCCAATTGAAAATTTTGAAGTAGAGGGTACTGGGGATGAGGGGGTTGACAACACAATGATGATGTATTTGGTGAAAGTGTTCCCCCTTGAAATAAAAATCGACGGGTCTGAGCGATTTTCAATTTTTTTCACGAGTTCGGAGATTAGGGGGGTGACAAGTTTTAGCTGGGACACCCTGTATATTAAATGGTAACAAATGATACTTGTGTTATTAGGATTTTATAAATAGTGATTTATAAGAAAAAATATTTCTCATTTCATTTATTTAAAATTTATACAATCATTTCTTATATTTAATCCATTCTGCTTTTCTGAGGTTACTTTTAAAGGTAAGTTGAAGTTGAAAGTGTTTTGTCGAAAAACTGTCAAAGAAAGGGTAATACAAACGAATGTATTATATACAGTGAGGACGAAAATTGTACCCTCCTCTATTTTAACTTCTAAATGAAAAAAGATAATGACAAAACAAAAATGAGGTAAAACTCAAGAGATATTATATTTTTGTTATAACGAGATGCACTTTACTTGTGATATGTAAGATAGAGGGAGTTACTAGCTTTAAATTTTCTAATGGAAAGTAGGGTCATACCTCATTTGAAAGATATTTTCTATATTTTTACATTCATGTAAACAGATTTGGGTTTTTACAGAAATTATATTAAATAAATTCATAAAGTAGGTTAAATTCTTTTTTTTTATTTACCGCTTCAACCTCAAAGGATCATTACCGTTGGTATAATACCTTATAAATCCTGTTTTTTACAATAGTATACAATGGATAATTAACATTTTGGCTAGTACAGAGTAAATGTCAGTATCTTTTATAAATTTAAGTAATTTTTTACTGTTAGAGGGATTTAACACTGCACAATTGGCAATTTTTTGTAGCTAGTACTTTGTTCTTATACAGACATGTTCTATGCCTTTACTAATAAGTTACACTCTTAATAACTCGTATTAACAATTATTGTTTATTACTAAGGAAACGCTTCTTGTATTTACTAAAATAAATAAATTAAGAATATCAAAGGTGATTTAAAAACCACTTGACGTACATATTAAATTTTTTATAACTTCTTGGCAAAAAGAAGCTTATTAAAAAAATTATTTTCTAATATTATCTAACATTTCTAGGATTATTGCGGCACACGAGGATCAAGAATGTAATTTTTGTAAAAACATACAAAAAAATAAAACTGTGTGCTTGGACGTAAATATAATCAAAATATCTTTCAAATGAAGTATTACATAACTTTACTTTCTATTAGAAAATTTAAAGATAGTAACGCCCTCTATTTTACGTCTCAAGTAAAGTGCATCTCATTATAACAAAAATATTATGTTTCTCTAATTTCACATCGTTTTTGGTCTCTATCTTCTTGCATTTTGAAAACATACTACAAAATGCTTTCATTTGACATCGCAGGATTGCATTAGAAAAATTATAACTTCCAATTTAACCTCTTCCCCCCCCCTCCCCAACTGACTTACAAGACAAAGTATATTCGTTTTTAGTTAACGCCTAATCTGGGCCACTTATTACTTCAAATTTCAATTGTAAAACGACTGTGTCAGACAGAGAGACGTAAGTGTTTCTTATTGCCAAATTTGGGTACTAATGCGCAAATTACTTGAAAAATTCTTTGTTTTTGTCTTACAAATTTTACCGTTTTTTCATGTTTCGTCTTTTTCAAATTTAAATTTGATATTGTTTATCACAAGAGAAACGAGACAAGACGAGAGAAAGGCTCTCTCGAGCGAGAGAAGCGCCTTCTCGTCGAGACGAGAGAAGCGCCTTCTCGTCGAGACGAGAGAACAGTTTACTCCCGCCCTACGAGACGAGACGAAAGAGGCCACTCTCTCATCTCATCTTGTGTCGCGGCATCACTAGCAAAAATTGTCAGAATCCAAGGCATTGGTCAAAGTGGCAACAGTGTGCCGTCTGCTTATACATGACTATGATTGTCTTAAGTATGTCATAGTCACAGTGGATGAAAGGTTATTATAGGCGTTTTAACTCTAAAAAATAGGGTCCTAACCACATCCCAAACTAGTCATTCATAAAATTGGTATTTTTTGTGAAGCCGACACTGTAAATAGGAGTGAGAGAACCGATTACGTTAGCAGAACATGGCGACGAGCTCGTTATCATATGTCGGTGTATTGAAAACATCCATAGACGTATCATTTTTAAAGAGATATTTAATATTAGATCTATTTTCTATTCTTAATTATTATTCATTGTTTTCTAGAAGTACCGGGTATCCAAATAAAAAAGGAGTGGGAATAATACGCGAGGTGAAAATATTTATGTTTGTATGTTATTTGACTGTTTTAAAAATATCGATAGTTTGATTGTTTGAAAGGTAAGCTACAAAACAGCAAAAACAAATTATGAAATTATTTCCATAACTTTTTAATCAAAGAATTATAGAATTACAGTTACAAATCAAATTTTGTTTATGTGAAGAATTAATTTGAAATTTTCGAATGCCTGTGGCGAGATGTAGTGTTGTTGTTTCTAAACACAATTTTTACAGTTTGTGAACGTAAAAAAGTAAAATAAAAGTATTAGCAATTAGTTATTAATTTTAATAGACCTAGGTAGGTGCCATTTTATATTTGTTGATAAATATAGATTCCAAACAAGTTTTTCAAGTAACATTTTTCTTTATATTTAAAAAACTCTTGAGAAATAAGTCATATTTTTTTACCTCCCTTGTATGTGGACAAATATTTCATTTAATGGTCCGAGTACAAATAATGTAATGGTAAAATCTTATATGTGTATTACATGCATAATAAATAATTCAACAGTATTTCCAATAACATTATTATTATTATCATCATCAACCGCTATAGTATTTCAGATATTTTAAAATATTTAAATAAAAACTTCCTGTTTGAATGTGTACATAAATATAAATAAAATTTCATTTCTTGCTTGTAAATTAGTATGTATTAGCCGCTATTTTATTTAGTATTATCTTTAATTTATATAAACAATAGATAATAGTCATCATTTGACAAAGAAATTAATTGGTTATTGCCGCCTACTATGCAAAAGATTCTAAGTTTTAATTTGATTGTAGCGACATCCATTGGACGATATTGAAACCTTCTCTAAGTCGTTGCAGGATGTTAAATAGTAATATTTTAAATATGTTTGTATCAAAACCTCGTAAACAGTAAAAAACGGACTTAGGAGGTTTTGAAAGTAAGCCGTCGATATATTACCTTAGTATTTTTTCTATTTTCCTTCAAATGTTAATGCAATTTCAAAATTGAACGTGAAACCTGAAGTTTTGCGACAACTGTCGACCAATGAATCTTCAATTTCTCACCATTCCCAGTCAACCTATTGGCCGAAATATGCACCATTATGTACTTATAATAAGTACTGGACGTCTAAATAGCACAGATACTCATTTTAGAATATATAGTTATGGGCCCTCTGACCAGGTTACTCACAATTAATTAAAGAATTTAGAATCTAGACCAGCGTTACTCAAAGTGCGGTCCGCGGAGCCCTGGGGCCTTTGTGGGGGCTCTGCAAAGAAAATAATAGTCATAAAAAAAAGCAGTACTATTGCTACAAAGTGACTTGGCTTGAGGACCTCTATCTCTACAAAGGGACTTGACTTGAGGATCTTTTTTTTGACTTTGAGGACTTTTTTGTGGGGGCTCCGCAAAGAAAAGGGAGGGACCTGGCTAGAGGGGCTAGCGCAAGGAAAATTTTGCTCGAAGGACCTTTTTTAGGGCTCCGTCAAATATTTCGCTTTTCAAAAAGGTTCCGTCACCTAAAAAGTTTGAGAACCACTGATCTGTCTAGACCATTTTAATTAGAAAATATGTTGCTACGATCATGTTTCTGCATGTATGAGTGTCTTTAAGACAGTGGGATGGTTTTATAAAACACAACCATTAACTAAAAACAACGTTTATTGACATAAAAAGTGAATTAACATAAAACATTACAACAGTATGTAACATTTAGTGAATTTC